GAATTTGAAGTCATTTTTTTCTGAGCTGTCCTTAACTCAAGGTCGTTCCATTAGGTCAGCTTGTGCTCTCACCCGCGAATAAAGAACTCACCCCCACAAGTATGGACTGTGACCCTATGGTCTCTGCATCCACAGCAGCAGTCACGTCCACTCTCCCGTCGGACTGTATAGTGATGGAGGCGGAGGCCGTCTGAGAGGGGGACAGCACTTCGGACCGTTCCGAGAACACCAGACTGGCCCCGGCTGTGTCCTCGTCCTCCGCCTGCACTGTGGCCACACCTGTGCCTGTGGTGCCCTCATCCACGTGTATGGTCCTGAAACAGAAACAACCCAATTCATGGACGATAAATGAATGACTATGGTAAAATCTAGAGAAAAGATACGTATTATGCAAACACAATTATTAAGTATAAGGCAAAATATTGTTTGTTAGTCAAAATAATGAGAAAAGTCTTCAAATAAGGATAAATGCGACTGAGGCAAGCCTTTTAAATGCATAAAGTGGTTTCAACACTTTATACTGGTTTTTTGTCGGCGTTATGAGCAAGTATTTGTTTTGAGGAAAGTGCTCACATGGGCGCGTTTGTGAAGAAGGGAGCTTCGTCATCCACATCGTTGATGGCAACTGTGACAGTGGCGGTGGAGTAGCTCATTCCGGAGGGGGGAGAGGGTGCCAGATCACGCACCCGCACCACCAGCTCAACCTGAAGATTTAAGACCTTGAAATCTTTTAAAGAAAAAAAAACCAGTTGGTCTCGTGTGAGTGTATGTAATAACTTGCCTCGTATCCGGCAGAAGCTATGGCGGCATCCTCGTAGTCTAGCACCACTCTGCTCCTGATCTGTCCATTCTGAGCACCAACTGCAAACCACTCACTCGGCTCCACCAGTTCAAACACCACCTGAAAATAAACCCCAACAGGCCAGTTATCACACTTAGACTATCACAGAACACGCTTCGGCACAGTTTATTACCTGAAGAAATCTATAACCATCATACATGCCAAGTTGAACTGAAAACTGAGAACCTTTCAAAGACTATGTAAGAAAATGAAAAGATAGTGATATTGTTTGGGATCGCACATTTTTATAAAGTTCGTTAAAGTAAAGTTTGTTAAATACGTTGAAATGAAATTCCTTAAGTTTTATGCAATATAACATTTGTTTTGCAAATTTTATTCGTAGGAATATTTAAATTCCAAGCCTGTTTTCGGTTTACTGTTCTGACTGTCATACTCACTTGTCCGTGGTGGTTCTGGGCCGAGTCAGTGTCTGTGGCAGTGAGTGTCCCCACCAGACTGTTGATGGCCAGTCCCTCGTTGATCGAAAAGGGACCCCCAGCTGAACAAACACACATCACTTGCGAATTTCTCTCAATGCTAATATATTTTTATTGATGATACAAAAACACTCCATCGGCTTTGTTCTTCTTAATTCTTCTAATCACCCTCCCTCTTAAGTAGACCATGTTAGTACCTACTTCGTTGGCGTCCCTCATGCTTGAAGGACCGAATGCTTGAAATTAATTTTAGCTTACTTTCAGCCAATCAGAATAGAGTATTCAAAATCTCAAAGTAAATCGCGAAAATCTCAAAATAAGAAAATAAATCCAGGCCATTAGTGCTAATTGACCGATTAAATAATGAGCAGATGAGTTTTCAAGACTGAAAAATTCTTATGATTTTGACCAAATTAATCTCGATGGTTATCTGATGCAATACTAATCAGTTTGTAACCCGCAATTTGTAATATTTTTGATTATTTTCCACTGATTTAATACATTTTCTGTTAAATTGACTTCGATTTTGCGAGAAAAGCATTTAGCCAATAGAAACGCTTTTTGAAATTCTTTGATTAAAAAAGTTGAGTCGGTACGTCCAGAGAGTGCAATTTTCCGAGGAACAATTGCAAAACAAATCTGTTTTTCTGATTTGTTTTGGATTTGATTTAACTTAGTTTGTCTTAATTTTGCTTTGCATTGCGTACAAATTACTCATTTCAAATCGCCCGGGTTGACCTCCATACACCGAAAATGGTTATCATACAATTCCATACATCAAGTGTATGGAAAAATGCTTGTCATACAATTTTCATACAATTTCTAAAAATGGTTGAAAACTGGTATAAACTTATTTCTGTGGATGTTTGGTTCTTATAAAACAGTCTGGTGATAAAAAAACTGAGGTTCTCGTTTTTTGAAAAAAATGCTTACCATACAATTCCCATATATGGGAATTGTATGACTGGCATTTTTTTGATGGCAACACAAAAAATTTTTCAAGTAACTTTTTGTTTTTTTTTCAACCGCAAATCGAATTTCGTACGCAAACAAACATTTTTCGAACTTTTTTTTTGCATGCAAAATTTAATATTTTGTGTGCATAACGTAGTCCTGGATACGATAAAATTGGCTTTTATTTTCTTTTCACTTAATTTTTTTTTTCAAAAACGCTGAAAATTCCTATTTCTTTTGTATGAGGTGTTATTGTAAGCCTTGATCAATGTCTGATAACAATTCAAAAATTTAAAATAATCATCATTAAAAAATTTGGCCAAAACATAAAAGTTCGTTACTTTTGTTATATATATTGTGAAAAGCATCCAAATTCAGGTCGTTTGCTATGCATGGTAAATGCAAGACCCCCAACCTTTGGTGTTTTGAGTAACCAAGGTCTTTGTCACTTGTGTTTGGTTGCAAACACAACCGAAATTTTTTCAGAAACTAAATTTAGAAAGAAAAAATCAAAATTTTTGGTTTATGGAAAAAAACCTATCATACAATTTTCATATATGGAAAAATGTTTATCATAGAGATTTCATACAATGTTCTGTACGTATGGCATTGTATGGAATTGTATGACAAGAAGTTTTTCATAAATGGAAATTATATGATTAGAAGTTTTGGTCAACCCGGGCGGTTGAATATTTCATTTACCTACAGCCAAGATAACATCCTGCTCTTAAAACGTTTTGAGGAAAATTTTTAGTCCGTATTTTCAATTCGAAGCCAATTGTCTTCATTCTTACGCCTTTTCATGCATAACGCCTTTTATTCGAAAAGTACTTTTGACAGAAACGTTAAACTTATCATCGTATAAGGTGTCCAGGACATGTTCACACCATAGTCACAAAATTGAAGATTTGCCAGAGAAATTTGATGCTCAGTAACCGAAAACCCATGTCTTAGCAGAGGCAAAAGACATCTACTTCATAAAGGCTATTTGATGTTTGAAATCATTTGAGAAAAAAGCGTCTAGATGCAACCAGAAGAAAAACGTTTGGACATGAGTACAGAACGATAGAATGAATCGTAGTTGAGTAATGAGTCCAAACCGCACCATTGGTGAATGCGGGCACGGCTTCGTTGAGGGGAGTGCATGTGAAGAGAGCGTGGAACTCCTCCGAGTTGACTGAGTCGGAGGCAGTCAGCAGCAGCTCCTCGTATCTCACAGGGGTGGGGGTGGCGTCAAAGTCCCACACGGCCGCCGTCTCTACATTCACACTGCAGGGCACATCGGGCGAAGAAGCGGAACAGGAGAGGGCAGACAGCTGCAGAAGGCTCACTCCCGCGTCCTACAGTTGGAGAGATTTAACACAGAGTTAAGGGATGTCAGTTTAAACTCTAAATGAAATTCGATTCAGAGCAAAGCCAACTAAATGTCCTGTAAGATGTTTTCAATCGTAATAAAATTCATATGAATTTTTTTCACCAGATTTCTGTGAAATCTGAAACTATAATATTTACGAGTGTGAATGTGATGGTGGTGGGTGTGGCAGTAGTTGCATCCCTGTCATAACAACTCAACACCCCCACCACACTGTTGGCCGCAGTCCCGTCCTCCACTTTGCCCCCCGGATACTTGGTCGCATAGGACACACTGCACTGTGGGGGGTTGTCGTTGTCGTTTGTGAAGGTGTAGGTGACTGTGATGTCGTCTGTCTTGGCTGGAGTCGCCTTGTCGCTCGCTCTGATGTACAAAGTCTGGCTAGTCTGGGAAGCGTCTATGGATTCAAAGTCTACTGGTTTCACTAGTCTGATCGCGCCTAGAACGAATAACTGAGTTGACTAGAAGTTTCATTTATGCAACAAAAACTGGAATATATTTCCTTTATGCAACAAAAACTGGAAAAGAAAATTTGAATTTGATGTTAAATCTTCCATAGTCTACAAAACTCACTATTTAGATGTCGTTTTCGCAGGTAATTTCAAAACGGACAGCACCTAAGTAATACATTGCAGTGTGTGAGTATTTGGGGGTCTGACCTGAGAGTGAGCCTATGGCGAAGTATCCGTCTCCCCCAGTCATGGAGTACCTGACCATTCCCTCGGGGGTGTTGGCGTCATCCGCGTCAGTGCAGGAGACAGTGGCCACTACACTGTTCACGGCGTCACTCTCACTCACGTCAGCGTCAGTTAGAGCAGTGCACGCAGGTGCATTCGCATTCGCACTCTGCCAACACAACAAACTGTAAGTGTCAACACCTTTGCGAGCAATGAGTTTGTTTAAAGAAGCAGAAATGTTTGAGAATAATTTCACTTGACAACTTGTAAAAGGAATTGGGTACCAGTATGAGTCCAAACTGTGCTTTTTTGAAATGTTTGTGGCATGGGCTGGTCGAGGATTTTCTCGAGGGGGCAGTTTTTACGACCGTTTTTGGTCAAAAATATTGAGTTTCCGAGCTCCTAAAACATTAAAAAGACCAGTTTTTGGGAACTTCGTAGAAGATCTTGAATAAAAAATTGCATTTTTTTGCGAGCGCTCCTCTCAAAAGAAGTATTAGGATTTTTTAGACGCTTTTAGGAAACTTTTGGGGTCGGTCGCCCAAAAAAAGATAGTAAAATAGTGCCAAAAGGAAACCATTTGGGTGATAAGGGGGTCAAATCTCCCCGCCGCTCCCCGAAATCTACCCCTGGTTTGCGGATAGCGTGACAACGTTGACCAGTATGCAAGCTAAGACGCGACTTGCAATCAGATTGTGATGACTACTGTGTGTATGGGTAGGTTGTTACATACCTGTACTATGACGGAGACGGTGAAAGTGGTGGAGGCTGTGGTGGGGGTGGCGTCGTCTGTGGCCACAATGCCCAACGAGTACAGTCGGGTGGTGGAGTAAGCACCCACCAAATCTACACACAAATAGCAGTCCACCTCTTTCTCTCCAAAAACAAGCGTCACATAATGTCATGAACAGATCAGAGTTTGAAACGTATAACTAACATAATTGAAAATATGGAAAATGCATGAGCAAATATTCTACATAAAATTAGTTTAACTCGATGTTTTGTCAAATCAGGTCTGAGTCTTTTTTTGAAAAAATGAACTGAACCATTGCACGATTATGATAGATTGTTTCGTGGCGGTACTAGCCTGCTCCTGCTTTGATGGTGAGTTCTCCAGTGGCGGCGGCCACTTCAAAGTGGGTGCTGGCTGCACTGAGTGCATAAGTGACTGTGTCCCCGTCCTTGTCGGAACAGGAGAACGCATCCGATCCCACCAGCGTCGTCCCATCAGCTGGAATGAGAAGGGTAGGGAGTAATGAACAAGTATTTTGAGTCAAATTATCACACTGTTTTTCTTTACAACTGCAAATGATGAGAAGATAAGGGTAACATAAGAGGCGCATTTCAGCAATTATGTCCTTCTTCGGTATGCGCGTGACGCAAAAAATACTTGTTTGATGCAAAACTAAGAACCACGAATAGTTGTGTACGTTGTAAGCATTAAATATATAATGAGATCTCTACGCTGTTTTGTTTCGGAAGTTTTAACCATTACTTTACTTGATGGTCTTAATCAGTAATTAATGAGCATACTATACCATCATACCATCATACTACTAAGTGAGCATACTATACCATCATACCATCATACTACTAAGTGAGCATACTATACCATCATACTACTAAGTGAGCATACTATACCATCATACTACTAAGTGAGCATACTATACCATCATACTACTAAGTGAGCATACTATACCATCATACCATCATACTACTAAGTGAGCATACTATACCATCATACCATCATACTACTAAGTGAGCATACTATACCATCATACCATCATACTACTAAGTGAGCATACTATACCATCATACCATCATACTACTAAGTGAGCATACTATACCATCATACCATCATACTAGTAAGTGAGCATACTATACCATCATACTACTAAGTGAGCATACTATACCATCATACTACTAAGTGAGCATACTATACCATCATACCATCATACTACTAAGTGAGCATACTATACCATCATACCATCATACTACTAAGTGATCATACTATACCATCATACCATCATACTACTAAGTGAGCATACTATACCATCATACTACTAAGTGAGCATACTATACCATCATACTACTAAGTGAGCATACTATACCATCATACTACTAAGTGAGCATACTATACCATCATACCATCATACTACTAAGTGAGCATACTATACCATCATACCATCATACTACTAAGTGAGCATACTATACCATCATACTACTAAGTGAGCATACTATACCATCATACCATCATACTACCAAGTGAGCATACTATACCATCATACCATCATACTACTAAGTGAGCATACTATACCATCATACCATCATACTACTAAGTGAGCATACTATACCATCATACCATCATACTACTAAGTGAGCATACTATACCATCATACCATCATACTACTAAGTGAGCATACTATACCATCATACTACTAAGTGAGCATACTATACCATCATACCATCATACTACTAAGTGAGCATACTATACCATCATACTACTAAGTGAGCATACTATACCATCATACCATCATACTACCAAGTGAGCATACTATACCATCATACCATCATACTACTAAGTGAGCATACTATACCATCATACCATCATACTACTAAGTGAGCATACTATACCATCATACTACTAAGTGAGCATACTATACCATCATACTACTAAGTGAGCATACTATACCATCATACTACTAAGTGAGCATACTATACCATCATACCATCATACTACTAAGTGAGCATACTATACCATCATACCATCATACTACTAAGTGAGCATACTATACCATCATACCATCATACTACTAAGTGAGCATACTATACCATCATACCATCATACTACTAAGTGAGCATACTATACCATCATACCATCATACTACTAAGTGAGCATACTATACCATCATACTACTAAGTGAGCATACTATACCATCATACTACTAAGTGAGCATACTATACCATCATACCATCATACTACTAAGTGAGCATACTATACCATCATACCATCATACTACTAAGTGATCATACTATACCATCATACCATCATACTACTAAGTGAGCATACTATACCATCATACTACTAAGTGAGCATACTATACCATCATACCATCATACTACTAAGTGAGCATACTATACCATCATACCATCATACTACTAAGTGAGCATACTATACCATCATACTACTAAGTGAGCATACTATACCATCATACTACTAAGTGAGCATACTATACCATCATACCATCATACTACTAAGTGAGCATACTATACCATCATACCATCATACTACTAAGTGAGCATACTATACCATCATACCATCATACTACTAAGTGAGCATACTATACCATCATACCATCATACTACCAAGTGAGCATACTATACCATCATACCATCATACTACTAAGTGAGCATACTATACCATCATACCATCATACTACTAAGTGAGCATACTATACCATCATACTACTAAGTGAGCATACTATACCATCATACCATCATACTACTAATTGAGCATACTATACCATCATACCATCATACTACTAAGTGAGCATACTATACCATCATACCATCATACTACTAAGTGAGCATACTATACCATCATACTACTAAGTGAGCATACTATACCATCATGCCATCATACTACTAAGTGAGCATACTATACCATCATACCATCATACTACTAAGTGAGCATACTATACCATCATACCATCATACTACTAAGTGAGCATACTATACCATCATACCATCATACTACTAAGTGAGCATACTATACCATCATACCATCATACTACTAAGTGAGCATACTATACCATCATACCGTCATACTACTAAGTGATCATACTATACCATCATACCATCATACTACTAAGTGAGCATACTATACCATCATACCATCATACTACTAAGTGAGCATACTATACCATCATACCATCATACTACTAAGTGAGCATACTATACCATCATACCATCATACTACTAAGTGAGCATACTATACCATCATACCATCATACTACTAAGTGAGCATACTATACCATCGAAAACAAGCCTGTATAAAGTGCTACTCAAGTTACCAGTGTCTGCTGGTATGTTGATTGAGAAGTAGGGGGGACTGCATTGGGGGGCACTGTTGGTGGGGGTGATGGTCACCGTCACTGTGGCCTCGGTGGAGGACAGTCCGGCTCTGTCCACCAGTCGCATCTTCACTGCACACGAAGCTGGCACTAAGGCCAGACTGCGCACCACTGTGATTGTTCCATCGTCTGTAGCCACGGAAAACGGGCAATCGGCGACACCTAAAAAAGTATTTCAAGTTTGCAACGAGCAAAACAGTTCTCAAAAGGCATTCTGAACTGGAAAACTCAATTGAACTAAATAGGATCCCCGGTTGAAGAAAATTTTAGCGCCGCTTTAGAATTTTCCAATGAAATAAGTTTTAAAAGAACTTTTGATTATTTAAAAAAAAACAATGTATTGGAAGAGTTTCCCAGCAAGTTTATCCAAGTTTGGCACAATCGTTGGGCCTGGAAAAAGGCATGGTTGGTTGGGGTGCTTAGTGTTAATGTGCTGGAGTACTAGAAAGTGTATCATACTAACAGCAGGCAGTTCTCTGGATGGCGAGGAGTCCGTGTGGATTGTAGACTGTGGGGTCCACCTCGTCTGGCTCTGTGAATGCCAGTGCAGTGTCCAGAGTGAGAGTGGTCCCAATGGTGGCTGCGTCGCTCACTGTCGAAGTGTACACACTCGTAGTCCACGCGGGGGCTCCGTCGTTCACAGGGCGTGCGATTACTTTAATTGTGAACACCTACGCCCAACAAAAAGACTAGAAAGTCAACCATGAACTGTACAAATTTTCTGGCGTCATCTACTAAATAATATCTGTCATAGTATCTAAATTTAGTTCATGTTTCAATTCTAGTCGTGTTATCTATTTCAATTATCTGTCTGGCGCTAACCGGTATTTAACCTTCGGAGTTTGTCTGTCACCTTCGGATGACAGCCATCTTATTGTCTCCGACTTACTTTCTGAACTACGGTTTGCTTATTAACAAGACATTTAATTCATACATCCAAACCGTCTTTTCACATGGCGCAGCCAACAGGCCAAAGTGGGGGGAAGAACCCACTGGGAATTACATCGTTTTGGCCATCGACGCTCGCAGAACCACCAATGCTATGGGAGTTCTGGTTCAATCGTTTTATATGGGGGATGGTGGCCAAACATAGTATAAATCCACGGAATTTCTATTATGCCAGTACGTTAACAGCAGCGCAAATTGTAGATCTACCAGAGGAAGTCGATGGGAAAAATCGTCTGGCGTCGGAGCAAACGCTTATCTCAAATTTGTATTTGTGCCTGGGAGAAAAAGGACAGGATGAGCTACATAAAAGAAAACCACACCTGGATCTAGCTGCAACAAGGTACTCTCGAGTTTTGGATACTATCGAAACCGAATTTCGGAAGGAACGAAACGAAACCTACGAAACATTCCAACTATTGGCACGGAAGCAACAAATAGGAGAATCGCTGGAACAGTTCCACTCAGTGTTGAGTGGGCTAGCCGCTCGATGTAATTTTGGAGCATTGGAGACCAGGATCTTGCGGGATGTGTTCATCGTAAATATGAACAATAGGGAGGCCCAAAACGAGCTATGCCGCTCGACGAAGACACCAGAGGAGGTGTATCGTATTGCACTTTCATATGAACGTGGATTCAAATATGCTAAGTCATACGGATCGATAACCGGGGGACGAACTAGTGGAAATGCCGGCGGAGCTGGTGCGTTCCAAATCAAAACGGAACCAGTGGGGGCCATCCGAGGTGGTTACAGAAACAACAGACAGCGGGGCCGCGGATCGTTTAGGGGGAGAGCAGACATGAGAGGGGGTGGTTCCAGAAGATGCTATAACTGTGACCAACCCAATTTTACTCCGGAGCACATCACAACGTGTCCAGCGAAAAATGCTACGTGTAACTTCTGCAGGAAGACGGGACATTACGAGAGGACTTGCAGGGGAAAGCGAAATAATCGGGGAAGACCGGCAGTGGGACTGATTCAAAATCAGGAAGATATGGAAACTACTGAAGTAGACGACGCGGAGGACACATATTCCCAGCACGAGAACTCCGTCGGCTGGGTTAATACGCCGGTCAAGAAACAACCGGTCAAGAAACAACGATCGTGGGATTCGGATAGCTCAGGGGATTACGTTGTTATGGCCATTAAATCTCGGAAGGAAACAGAGCTAAAAGTGGCCGGCTCTCGACTACCAATTAAGGTAAACGGAAAACAAACAAACGTGTGGATAGACAGTGGATCACCGATTTCGATATTCACCATTGGGGAATTGAAACGGACATTGGGCACCGCAGGCGTCAAGGTGAAGGCACCGGCACCGGAGGATGAGGAGTTCAGGGATTACGGAAACAACCCATTACGACTACTAGGAACGATGGACGTACTATTAGAAACAAACGGATGGGTGATCAACGCAAATATCAGAGTGATTGGAGGAAGCAGACCATCAATTATTGGACGAGACCTAATGCCAAATCTTGGGCTACAGATCGTGCAGAAGGCACCGGAGGGGAATGTGATGTCGGTACAGAGCGACCAAGGCACAGTCGAGGAGACGGATGTGGAGGACTCACTAGACAACTGGCAGATCTACTTCAGTAAGCAGTTTGAAAATCTTTTTAACAGAGTCGGGAAAATTAAGAATTATAAGGTACACGCGGATTTTTTCGAAACGTTAACGCCAATTCAACAAAAAGGACGTAGAGTGCCCATCACGTTGCAAGAAAAGGTTGATAAAGAAATTGATAAACTTTTACGGCAGGGACACATCGAAAAGCTAAAGGAATGTTCGGATAAATATTTTGTTTCCCCGATTGTAATAACAGTGAAAAAGGACGGATCAGTAAAATTAGCGCTAGAATCAAGGGAGTTAAACAAGCAAGTCCACAAAAACAAATACCAAATGCCGAATATAGAGGAGCTTATGGATACGGTAGGACAAACGATTAGCGAACGGAAATCAGGGGACATATATTTTTCTACTATGGATCTTACGTACGCGTACGGCCAATTACCACTTAGCTCGGAAACGAGCGTTCAATGCAATTTTTCGCTGGTGGGAGGAAAATCAACGGGCACGTACCGCTTTCGTACGGGGTTCTACGGTCTTACTACCATGCCAGCTGAGTTTCAACGAGTAATGGACACGATTCTTGCGGAATTTCCGCAGGCACATGCTTTTATTGATGACATCTTGGTGGTCACCAAAGGCACGGAGATCGAGCATATCTCGACTGTTGAAAAAATTTTGCGGAAGCTGGATCGCGAAAACATGGCACTTAAGCTCATTAAATGCCAATTTGCGCGGAAAGAATGTGAATGGTTGGGACACAAAATAACCCGTACAGGAGTGACGCCACTCGTCCGGAAAATAGATCCGATCGAATCGCTGAAAGCACCAAAAACGGTGTCACAACTTTAATCGTTCATGGGCTCCATTCACAGTTTGCACAAATATCTTCCGGCGCTCGCGGAATCATCAGCGTCATTACGCCCCTTATTAAGCCGGAAAAACGATTTTGTCTGGAGCGATGAATGCCAAATATCATTCGAGAACCTGAAAAAGCAAGTGGCTAATATAGTGGAACTTCGGCACTTTGATATACACAGAGACACAAGAATTGTGTGTGACGCTAGTCATAATGGGCTCGGAGCGGTCCTTGAGCAACTAAATTCCGACGGTTGGCGGCCAATATCATTCGCATCCCGGTATTTGAACGCAGCGGAAAAAATTACTCAACGAATGAATTGGAGATGTTAGCAGTTGTGTGGGGCGCGGAATACTTCCGAAATTATGTGCTGGGAAGAAAATTTTTAATAGTTACGGACCATAAGGCACTAGTGTCATTGCTAAATGGGAACAACAAAAAGAACAAAACAATGTTCAGCAGATTGACAAGATGGTTAGATCGTCTTATACCGTTCGATTTTCAAGTAGAACATAAACCCGGAGCAAAAATAGGACTCGCTGATTATCTTTCAAGGCACCCGTGTTTAAATCCTCAACCGATTAGCACCTACGATAGTATGTTTACGGTCGCGAAAATTAGTAGAATTAGATCCGCCCTCGGATTTAGAAATAAACTCGAGTCTCCATCGGTAACTAAAAATAGACGCATTTGTAATATATCGAATAGAAAGCGACCGGTAGAGGGCGAGCGATCATGCGACGGAAATTGGACCAATCACAAAGCGACGAATTGCATTCCCGGCAGGTCAATTGAGTTTAGCAAAAATTCAGTTGGGACTATTATTGAAGCTAAGTTTGGTTACTCAAAATCTTTAAACTCGCCAATAAACATTAACAATTCAAGCAATTTAACCATGGAAAGGAAACTCAAGAAATTATTGGAACGACACCCTAGCATTAGCAGTAGTGATGATATAGAGGAGATTGATGTAAATATACAGGCGGTTACAACAGAAGTCCGGAGCACTAAAACCAACACTATTATTTCTATTCCGTCGGTTTACCCTGGTGAGAGTTATCCACCGGTCAATCCGGAAAATAAAGTCATGTCTATTATACCAAGAAATTGTAAAGTAGTCAGCAAACAATCCGCTCTTCCCGAATTATTTAATCTTCGATTTATAGAATCGCAATACCAGTCTGATCCACAGTTACAAGCTATTATCGAGTTAATTAAATCTAAAGACCCCCAGTTACACTCGAAAATTGCAGCAATGAGTAAGTACTTCGCACAGTATACTCAGGATTTCCACGTAAGAGACGGATGCCTGTGGATGGACGAGAGGCTAGTGATCCCTAATACTTTGCAGACGGCGGTGGTCAATAGACTCCACTATTATCACCACGGGAAATCCAGCATGATCGACGCCGCTAAGGACATCTGGTACCCTTACATGTTTCGTAGTCTCGCAACTATCGCTGGGAATTGTCCGGAATGCACATTAGCGGGTAAGAATTTGAAAAACATGTGTTCAAAGGACGATATAGGGAAAATACCTGAACCAAAAGAGCCGAATGAATCAGTCCAATTGGATTTTTGGGGACCCATTAACTACTTGAAGGAATCTAAAAAGTATGTTTTGGTGGCGGTGGACCGGTTCTCTCGATGGCCATCAGCTATGGTCTGTAATTCGAACCGTTCGGATAAAATTATAAAATTTTTAAAAGCCTACATAATCGCTCATGGAGTTCCCCGCCAAATCAGAGTTGACCAGGGAACAAACTTTATGTCTAAGGAAGTTAAAACATTCTGCCATGAACAAGGAATTGAAGTCCTCATTTCGCCAGTGAATGACCATAGAGCAACAGGATGTGTTGAGCGCACGATTGGTAGCATTAAAAATTCAGTGCTGACGTATGCGCGGGAGGATAAACCGGAACCCTTGGATCGAATGGTTGAAAGAGCCCTCGGAGCCCTAAGATTTGTGAAAAACGCATCAATATAACACCGTTCGAAGCGCACCACGGCCGGGAAGCTAATACTGTCCTCAGGAACTTGACTAAAAAACCTACGTTACGGAATCTAAATTGGGAAAATGTAATACGATCGAAATATGAATGTTTAGATGAACGAGACCCGATAGCTCAAACAATGCCGAAGCCGATGGACACCAACTGGGGAATCCGATCGGATACTGAGTATGACCGGAAAAATAGACGGGGACCACTAAGATTGGCCGAGGAACAGGCAGCAAATCAAGATGATGAAACTGGGATTGCACGGGCACCAAATGACCCTGCATTACCGGCAGTGGTAATGCAGAGGACCGGGGAGCGAAATATGAATAGGTATAGACCATTAAGGTCCAAAATAGTTGATCAAACTGAACATACTATTAAAATGAGTAACGGTGCGGTGCTTAGGAAATCAGGAGTAGCGCTCAGGAAGGCCAAAGTTCCTAAAAAGCGGATGCCGGGAGGACCATTACCCACACCGCCAACGCCGTGGGATCTGAAAAGGAAGCTCAAATTGAGACAACACCAACCGGGCAGCTCAAGAGGCACTAAAGAAAGTCAGCAAACGATCATGGGAAAGGGAGCAAAATTCCAAATTTTGGAATCCGCAGAAAATTCCGACTCAGAATCGGAGGACCAGTTACCACTGAGTACAACCATCCTAGTGGCGAAACCAACAAGAGGGCGAGAAAACGGTGGAGAAGATGGACAGGGACCATCTAGTGGGGGACGGGATCCAGTTCAACCAGAGGCCTTCGTGGTTCGTCCCAGTAATAAGGAGACGGAACAAGGAAACACGTTGGCAGGTGAAACAGGAATCCGGAATGACTGGGGGAGAACAAATACCGAAGGAGCCGAACCACAAGAAACAATTACCGAAGGAATCGAATCACAAGAAACGGAGCGCGAACCACAGCAGATATCAGTAACTGGGGGAAAGAAACGGGGCCGGAAACAACGACTTGTTTCCTATTCTAGCCAAGATTCGGCCAGCTCGTTGGATGAAACAAGCTCGAGACGTTCGGGCAGGAAGCGGACCGCAGTGACCAAGATGGGGGGGTCATGATTGACAACATTAGAAAAACGGACAAAGCCGGAGCTATCGAAGAAAAAGAGTGAAAAGATGAGGAATAAAATGGAGCTCAAAACAATCTATAAAACTTTGCTAAAATGGAAAGGTCCAGGGAGAGGACATGCTGTGTACCAGCAAAAAACTCAAAAGTTTGTGTTTAAAGAACTGTAGTTGATTTGAAAACTTATTATTAACCCTATTGTTTACGGTTAACATTTGATATTGGATTTGAGTATTATTTATTACAAGGAGGGAAATGTCATAGTATCTAAATTTAGTTCATGTTTCAATTCTAGTCGTGTTATCTATTTCAATTATCTGTCTGGCGCTAACCGGTATTTAACCTTCGGAGTTTGTCTGTCACCTTCGGATGACAGCCATCTTATTGTCTCCGACTTACTTTCTGAACTACGGTTTGCTTATTAACAAGACATTTAATTCATACATCCAAACCGTCTTTTCACATATCATTCATCAGAACAAGTTTTTGACGTCATTAAAAAAAGTTCCCATGATGCAGTAGAAAATTGTGCAATCATATGTCGGATCATTTATGGAAAATGCGGCATTTTAAAAAATTCAGGCATCTTCAATGGTTTTTACCGAAACAATGGCGGATCTAAAGTTTTCTCGAGGTTGAGTGACTTTCAGTTTTTTTAAACTAATTCGAATTTGTAGTTGACGAACTTTCTTTCCCGAGCTCTCTCAAAACACTAGAAGGACCCTATATAGGCAAAGGCAAAATTTCGAAAAAAAAAACAGGCCGAGCAAAACGGACTAATGATTCACATTTGGTTAGTCCGGGCTCGCATCGCACATACTTTTTGTTGTGCGTGACAATAGTCTTTGGCAGAAATGAAAAGATATCCAAAGCCAATTGTCAACTAAATCTCAATGCTGCGAATAAATGGAACCACCTTACTTCTTAAAAAGTATCAATCAATAAAACAATTAAACGAAGATTAGTGGAAATTGGAACACAATATATTCTTAACTCTCTTTGGTTCTTTACAAAGTGTAATAGTGGAAAACGAGAGTAAGAGATGTCTACGTGGTGTGACCTGGTCGTGTGCTGCTTTGGCCGCCTCTACGCCAGTGCCTCCTGACTCAGACACTGTCACTACTGCAGTATGCACTGAAGTCCCACTGTCATAGTCCACTACAAAAGACACGCACGCAAAGTTGCAAATAGCAATCATTATAGTTACCTAATACTAATCATAAAAAATTGTTTCCAATGTAATGTAATGGTATCTTATATGACACACAAATAAGCAAAATTATTGACTGACAATATATTGGAAGGATACAATTGTATGTTAAGGTCTGTTTTCAATCAACTCAACAAAAAAGTGAAAAGCGCGCATAGCAGAACATTTAGCAACTCAAAAGTTTAATTTTTTTGATCAAGATTCAGAAATCGAAAAAAAATGTTCTTAGAAAAAATAATAGTTTAACTATATATATTCATTGTCTTGAATTTTCAGATCTTAACGAAATCTGCAACCGCGCTATATATAAATTTCTAGAAAATTGTAGTTAAAACGTTGAATTGATTTTTTTGTTGTTGTAGTTGTTGTTATGTTGAACTCTGGCTTACTTGGAAAGACTGATAAAACAATGTTGACCATTTGTAAAGATTTTGTTTTAGGAAATCTCTCAAAAATTTAAGGTTTAATCAAGATTGATTTTTTGGTTCGTGATGCGCATAGTTATCTCACTATCACTTATTGTTCGTTGTAGAACTTTTGCTTCGCATTCCTTTCTAGTTGTTCTGACTTTCGATAAGAAAGTAACGGAATATTTGTGCTCGGGGTGGGTTTTTTTTCTTCAGACAAATTTCGACTTTTCAACTAGCCATTTTTGACGGATTTTTTATATCAATCAAAAGGTATTGTTGTCCTGAGCTTAAACTTGAAAAGATATTTTACCTGTGATCATTTTTCGTAAAAATATGAGGGTTTAAAGTTTGCTATTTTGGCCATTTTGACCAATTTGGGACAATTAACGCGCGATATAATTCGCGCTATTAACGCGTAAGCGGGGATTTATTCCGTCTTATAAATTGTTCTAAATTGGTTGAACGAAGCTTATTTGCCATAATTGATTTGTTACTAGGAGCGAAATCTACTCCTTTGTACTTTATATGTCATGTGGGGGGATGATTTTCATAAAAAATTTCAAATTTTAGAAAAAAAAAATTTCGCTTTATTTTATATAATTTAATTTTTTTATGTTATTACTGCTCCACAAACCTTAAAAGGCAGTCAGAACATTCAAGGATTCGCCCTGATACGAGCAGTCTTGTTTCTACATTTTTTGTTGTTCCGACTTTCGATACGAAAGAAACGGAATATTTGTGCTAGGGGTGGGTTTTTTTTCTTCAGAAAAATTTCGACTTTTTAACTAGCCATTTTTGACGGATTTTTTTTTATATCAATCAAAATGTATTGTTGTCCTGAGCTTAAACTTGAAAAAATATTTCATTTGTGATCATTTTTCGTAAAAAATATGAGGGTTTAAAGTTTGCTATTTTGGCCATTTTGACCAATTTGGGACAATTAACGCGCGATATAATTCGCGCTATTAACGCGTAAGCGGGGATTTATTCCGTCTTATAAATTGTTCTAAATTGGTTGAACGAAGCTTATTTGCCATAATTGATTTGTTACTAGGAGCGAAATCTACTCCTTTGTACTTTATATGTCATGTGGGGGGATGATTTTCATAAAAAATTTCAAATTTTAGAAAAAAAAATTTCGCTTTATTTTATATAATTTAATTTTTTTATGTTATTACTGCTCCACAAACCTTAAAAGGCAGTCAGAACATTCAAGGATTCGCCCTGATACGAGCAGTCTTGTTTCTACATTTTTTGTTGTTCCGACTTTCGATACGAAAGAAACGGAATATTTGTGCTAGGGGTGGGTTTTTTTTCTTCAGAAAAATTTCGACTTTTTAACTAGCCATTTTTGACGGATTTTTTTTATATCAATCAAAATGTATTGTTGTCCTGAGCTTAAACTTGAAAAAATATTTCATTTGTGATCATTTTTCGTAAAAAATATGAGGGTTTAAAGTTTGCTATTTTGGCCATTTTGACCAATTTGGGACAATTAACGCGCGATATAATTCGCGCTATTAACGCGTAAGCGGGGATTTATTCCGTCTTATAAATTGTTCTGAATTGGTTGAACGAAGCTTATTTGCCATATTTGATTTGTTACTAGGAGCGAAATCTACTCTTTTGTACTTTATGTGGCGTGTGGAGGGATGATTTTCATGAAAAATTTCAAATTTTAGAAAAAAAAATTTTCGCTTTATTTTATATAATTTAATTTTTTAATGTTATTACTGCTGCTCCATAAACCCTAAAGGCAGTCGGAATATTCACGGCTTCGCGCTGATACGAGCAGTCTTGTTGATTTTGTTAACAGCTTCAGAAATTTGTATGCGAACAACTCGTTTCCTAGGAAAAATGTAAATTTTACTCGTAGTTCCCTTATTGTTCCGACTTTCGATACGAAAGTAACGGAATGTTTGTGCTCGGGGTGGGTTTTGTTTCTCTTCAGACAATTTTCGACTTTTTAACTAGCTATTTTTGACGGAATTTTTTGTATCATTCGAAAGATATTGTTGTCCCGAGCTTAAATTTGAAAAGATATTTCACCTGTGATCATTTTTCGTAAAGTTATGAGGATTTAAAGATTGCCATTTTGACCAATTAGGGACAATTAACGCGCGATATAATTCGCGCTACTAACGCGTAAGCGGAGATTTTGGTTGAAATCATTCCAAATTGGTTGAAAGAAGCTTATGTGCCATAATTGATTTGTTACAAGGAACGAAATCTCCCTTTTGTACTTTATATGGCGTGTGGGGGGATGATTTTCATAAAAATTTTCAAATTTTAGAGAAAAAAAAATTCGTTTTATTTTATTTCATTTAATTTTTTTTATGTTATTACTGCTGCTCCATGAACCTTACAAGGCAGTCGGAACATTCAGGGCTTCGCCCTGATACGAGCGGTCTTGTTGAGTTTGTTCTTTTTTCCGTAATAAGTGTTCTGAAACAGACTTTAACTTTAACTTTTTTTTCTGTTTATGAAAGTGAAAACTCAGTTTAGAGTCAAAATGAAATTGAAAATTGAAAATCTTCAATTTATCATTTTTAAATAAAATACAGTTTTCAATGTTTGCCAAAATTTTGTTTTGCAAAGTTGATTGATTTAGTTTTGTCGCCATTTACAGTAGGTTTGTTTTAGCAAACTATGTTGCCCTCATTATGGACTGCTTGATGTGCCTTGCTTAACTGTAGGCTTTAGTCATTAAGTTTATTGACCGTATCGTATCGTTTAGATGAAGAGATAAGCTACTCTCGCTAGTATTGACAGATAAACAATTTACATTTAGTTTGAAAAGCAATGGAACTAGAATTAAGCCTTGCGCTACACCATTTTCAACGTTAATCAGTGAAAATTTCAAGTACAATTTTAAAATCTTGTTTATAGATCCTCAGAAGTCCTTGTTTTGTAGTTTTGAAGCAGAATGGAATGATCAATGGTGTTAATTTTTTTTTCAATTCTATAACTTTGCAGTGTCTTACTGTATCAGGATAGAATGACTTTCTATTTCGTATTTATTTCTCCCATGGGATTCCTCAGTAATGGTGATTGGCTTTCAATTGGTATTGTTTTTGGATAGAACACCCCCGATAGTTAACAGCGCTTTAACAAGTGAAACTTACTGGAATAGCTATTTGTATTTCCTTTAGTTCATTTAAAGTGCCAAGGAACTCGCGGGTAATCTGCCGATTTTCGTTCAAGCTGTTTTGTTACTAAGTTTTTCTGCCTGTTATTAATTTTTTTGACGAAGTTCGACTGCTTCTTACATGCTACCAAATCCGCATTCAACCTGGAATTTATATTTTTTGTCAACTTTAAAAAAAATTTTGCCACAGCATTTTCTATTTCTTTTGTCTATCCATATTGTTTCTGTAATTTTTTTGCTGTTTTTAGAGGGAAAAACTTGTTAAAAGTTATTGTTGGTGTTTCGTTGATATTTATCAAAGGTTTATCATTTTCATGGTTATTCTTTTGGAAGTTATTCCAGTTCTTGTTAAGTAGTTGTTCGTGTCATACAACAAAAACCCTTGGGTAACTGAAAGTTTTCAATCAATGAAAAAAGGAAAGAGGCTTTAGAGACATCCAGTGGCGTTCACAAAAAAATTTTTAGGGAAAGGGTTAGTTTGCCGATAATTTGATAATTTTGATATTTTTGTGGATTTTTTTTTCGTTAGACCAATTTAGTTTTCCGAGCTCTCCGAAAATTTCCGGGAAACAATGATATATTCAGAACTTTTAAAAAAAATTTAACAAAAAGTTGTGTCTTATTTGGCGCGCACTTTCCCCTCAAATCTCAAATTCAGTTATTTTGGCGTCTAAAATGGACTTCGATAAAGTATAGCAAAGGGTGACTTTTTGGAATAATTTTGGCAGCCAGATATGAAGAGGGGTTGAAAGCTGTCGCCCCCTTCCGCCACTGGAACCATTATAACAGAACTAATAGTGTTAGCCTAAAATTTTTTATAAGTTTTAAAAAACACTTTTGTGTGAAGCGTAACTGACTTAAAAGTTTTTCGGGACAAGTGTTTACACTGAAACAGCCACCAACCTAAAAACAGTTTCTAAAAAAAGGAGAAACAAGCTTGTTCATTTTTTGATTGCAGCTGAGCTTACATGAGTTAGCGTTCAACTGCAGCACACTTGCGCCTGTCAGAGTGAAGTCGGCGCCCGAAGTCAGAGCAGCCCCGATTGTGGTACCGTCCAAGTCATCACACACGGAGAAGTCCAGCAAGTCAACAGCTGCTGTGTTCGTGTCCTCATCCATGACAAATGTCGTGTCCTTCATGATGCCTGCACAGTGAGGGGGGTTGTCGTTGGTCTGGCCAATTGTCACAATCACAGACACTGTGCCCTCTTTGCCCAACCCCCTCTCGTCTATTCCAGACACCTGCACCAAAAGAAAGTATCTTCAAACCAACTAAATGCCACCTAGCTGCTCCAAAACATACTTTATGTCTCAAAAACGAGGCTAGTTACTGTTTTCACTCTGAGGTGGACATCAACGCCTTTTCGATAAAACTTCCAATATTTGAACTGTCAATTTTGAGTACTTTTCATACCAACTTGTTAAACTGATACGCAACTTAAAGTGCAAAGCAAAATAAAATGGCATTTGGTTACATGTCAATTATAATAAGTCTTTTCAGGCTTATAACGAAAAAAAAACATTTTTTTTGTATGTTTTATAACCCAAATTTAAGCCAGAGAAAACGTCATTAGACCCTTTTAAACGTCTCTACTAATGGGACGGCGATTTAATAACGTCTTAAATTGTTTCGGAAGGACTTCTGAGCTGTAATAATTCGCTAAATATACTACGTGCTAATACAAAATGAAAAAACACCAACAAAGCTCATTCTCTCACAGGGGCGGATCTAGGATTTTCTCGAGGGGGGGTTTGGATTTTCAAAAAAAATTCGAAAATTTTGACGACTTATTTTCGAGTTTTCCCAAATTTTTCGAGCTCTCCTAAAGCACTGTTTTGCCCCTATTTTTGCTAAATTTTCTGCGCCGCAGGCAAATTTTTGAAAAAACAGTCAAAAAAGCCGTTTTTGAGCACTTTTTGAAAAACCTTGACAAAAAAGTCGCGTTTTTTTTTGGCGCGCGCTCCCCCTCAAAGTTAGTATATATTGGCGCCGAAGGCGCCTTCAGAAAATTTTAGGGTCGGTCGGCCAAAAATGGATTTCTGAAAAAGTATCAAAGGGGGACCCTTTGAGTCGGCAGGGGGTCGAAACCCTGCGGGGGAAGCGTCCATCCCCCTCCCCCTAAATCCGCCCCTGTTCTCTCATATTGAACAAAACATGATTAAATAGAATTTAGTTTAGCATTCTTTTTATAGCATCAGCATTGTTTTTATAGAACAGTAATTTCAATTAATTTCAATCATAAAAATATTTTGACAAATAATGGGAAAAAAATTTATATATTTGTTTTTTTCACGCAAAAACCAAGCCCAACGCATGGGCGGGTTTAGGGAAGGGGAGCGGGGGGTCAGACGGACGCCTCTCCCTGAGGAATTCGACCCCCTGCCAACCCAAAGAGTCCCCCTTTGGTACTTTTTAAGAAATCCATTTTTGACCGACTGACCTTGAAATTTTTTCTAGAGGTGCCTTTGGCGCCAATATATTCTATTTTTGAGGGGGAGCGCGCGCCAAAAAAACGCAATTTTTTTTTGTCAAAATTTTCCAAAAAATTCCAAAAAACGGCTTTTTGACATGTTTTTTTTTCAAAGATTTGCCTGCGGCGAAGAAAGTTTTGCCACAACAGGGTCTTTTTACTGCTTTAGGAGAGCTCGGAAAATCAATTTGATGAAACTATAAAAAAGGTCAAAATTTTCCAAAGTTTTCTGAAAAATCGCCCCCTCTCGAGAAACTTCTAGATCCACCCCTGGCCCTACGTATACATTTTTTTTGTGTTTGAGTTATGTTTAGCGGTCAGAACCTTCTATGATACTTGCACAGCAACTGAATTTTCTTGATAGCCGGCGGATCACTTGGGTGCCCGAACTTAATGCATTCTCCAAACATAATCTGATTTTTTTTATTTCTAGCATAAGAGCATAAGTTAGTTCTCAGATCTGAAATTCGTTACTTCAGAAGGTTGAGAAGAGTTTTAAAAAAACTGATCTAAAATTTGAACCAAAGTGTAATTGATCCGAATTAACTATCAAAACAATTTTTTTTGCTGTTTTTGCAAAATACAATTTTGTTTAGATTAATTAGCGGCAAGTAAAAGTTTCCGTTTTATTACACGAACAATTTTTTCTGAACCAAAAATCTTGTTCAAATTTTCAAACCTAAGAAAATTTCAAACATTGTTCAAGGCCCTAAAAGTTTTTTATTTTTATTCGCTACTCATGCGTTTCAGATCTTATCTCACGATTGTGGACACATTTTATAGCAGTCTCGGATTAGAGCTTTTGCTAAGTACTTGCTAGTAGCTAGCAGAAGCTATCAAGTGCAAAACAACCTTGAATAACCAAAAAAAATGTCAGCGTCAACGATACGTTCGGGTAAAAAAAACATGGAAGAATTTTTTTGAAATTAAGATCTGAAAAAACCATGAAAAACAAACTTTCAGATCCGTAATCAGATCTGGAATAACCCATTCTAAAAGTATCCAAGCATTATTTTATTATTTCACATTTTATTTGAGATCTGAAACTTTGATCTGAAAAAAACTATTTTAGATCGAGTTAGAACATTTACTAGGCACAAGATATGGAAATGTAATTGCGGGACATCGTGAAAGGGGTGCTAAGTTGTGAGAGGGGCTTAAGTGGTCGGAGGGAAAGGGAGTTAAATTGAAGTGGGAGTGAAAAACCGTTAGATTGAACGTGTTCGTTCGAGGTTACAGAAAGCTCTATAGAGCAGAATAAAAAACCAATTTGCAAAAAAAAATAATTGATTTTAAAGGGTTTTAAGAACAAAAAATAGTTGACTTTTTTAAAAAATTGATTTAACAACAATTAGTTTCGATAAAAACGATATTTATTTTAAAAAATGATTATAATGGACAAAAAATCAACAAAAATGCAACAAAAATCAAGTATGTAGACAATACTTTTTGAAGCAATAATTCAAAAATTAATACATTTTACCCAAGAAACTTTGATACTTGAAGCGAATATAGCGCACAATACGCAGATCACAAACTTGACTGCCCGCATTAGAAAACACTCTATGTGCGCGTTGAGATTCGCATCTCATTAAGTGGAAAAAAAAGTTGAGTTTCACTGTCAGTTTCCACAGAAGTGAAAAAAAAAAGATTAAAATCAATTAAAAATGGATTATGTTATTGCGATTTTTCGAGGCAACAAAACTCACTTTTAATCCATTATAATTGCTTTTCTTAAAATTTTTGTTGACACTGACAAAAAAAATCATTTATAATCGATTTTTCTCCACTTTGTTGAGATGCGAATTTCAACGCACATAACCACTCCAGTGTTTGCCCCTTTGCCCCTTTTTGTACCCTTACACCCGCCATCCCCAACCTGAACCAATCCCAACCCTTCTCAACTTTATCTCCCCAGCCTGAACCGGATCCCAGGGTGAGGCATTTAAAAGTGTGGGCGAGAAACAACGGGGCAAACTTTGGATGGAGGGTTTTAAGGGGACAAAAGGCCAAACGTAAGGGGAGAGGTCAACGAAACGTTTTGCATTTTGAGTTAAGGTTTACAAATGGAGTAGGCCGAGCACTCGCTTTGCAAATAATTAGCATTTCTCCCTTTTCAATTGCTGAAATTCTTGCAAAATTTTTCACGACGCGAACCGAAAGTATAGTGGAAAAGAACCCATTTTAATGTGATTTTGTACTTGTTTTTTAGTCCATTATAATGAATTTCAAATGAAATATAATGATTTATAATTTTGCGAGAAAAAAATGGATTTGAAACCTTTTTTTGTCCAATTTTGTTGTCCAAGCCTAATATGGGAATCGATTATATTGACAATGTTTTGGAACACAAAAACCCATTATTAGCACATTTTTTTTCACTTTTTATTCACTTTTCTTAGATGTGGGTAGAAGTGAAAATTAATAGACGTCAAACTGAAACTTCATAAAACTTTATAGCAAGACTGAAACATTGAGACGTTACAAGTGATCAGCAATTAGCTAAAGTAGCAAGAACCCCGATAACCAGCAGTCAATAAATCTGTGCGGCATCATTCAGCTTGCGCCATTACAGGTCTGTGGTCATTTTTTAACCGACAGTTAGGCGGTAGTGCGTGTAATACTAACCTGGAGCAGAAATAGTTTATGAAGAGCTTAGATGAAGAGGGAATGGGTCAACAATAAGCAACTCATGGACCAATTGTAGTGGAACCTGATCTAAACTATATTTTATGATTGGATAAATTAAATGTTTTACCAATGTAAAGTATTTAATATTAACCAATCATGATCCATCTAACTAACAACCCACTTATTTGTAAGTGCTGAAGTTACTTGTAATTTCAGCACCAGAGAGATTTGAATTTAACTTAGAAATTAGTTGGACTCTCCCGAGCACTTCAGCAGCCGCAATAAACCAGTATACCCTAGATCTATTGAGCCTAGCAGAGACTAGTTAAACAACCTGAGACTAGATAGTATAAGAGTAAGATTAGGATCGGTATTAGACTAAGAAGTTGCACGAATCTATCCGGCCGAAAATAAGATAGCGTGACGAGCAGACGGTGTACCCTATCCGAAATTACTCTATGAGTTATACATTCCAGGCATAACTCATCTGGTGCGACCATAAGTCTCGAACAAGACCTTACTAGATTAGAATTAACCAAAAATAGATTAGAAATTAGACAAAAACATTTACAAAATGTTATACGACAATAATTTAATTGAAATGTCTCTCCGACTCAATAGATCAGAGCCAATATTCCGAACCATAATAGAACTACCCGGAATTGGAAGAAGACCTCGAACCAAAGACGACATACGACAAAGTAGAAACTTGCCGTATAGTTATATGATAGTTCGGCAAAAGCCAGAACAAACTTTTATATTTCGAATACTACTTGCAATGAATTTAGATTTCCATTTGCAAACATAAAACCTTGAAGTTAATCTTCAACATCATTTCAGGCGCTAAACAAAATTAATATTATACAATAACGATTGATAAAAAGATCTAAGATCGTTTCCCTAAAACTCTGCAGTATTATACAAAACATGTTTGAAAAATATTTATTGGACAATAAAAATAAAAATTAGTAGCATGACAATAAATGGTTAGTAATCATAAATCATCTTGTTGTTCCAGCTTCATCACCTAAAACATAACAGCAATCATCAACTCACTAATATCATCAAAACACTAAATCTTTCTTTTACACACATTCAAAACTTTATTAAAACTTAAAGTCACTTAATTTTAAAACCGGA